TGACCATCATAAGATTTTTTTACAAGTTGCAATAAAAAAGGTATCTTTATATTTTTAATTTTTCTTTTAACAATCGCTAGCGAAATTTGCATATTTTGAAGGTTTGAGAAAAACTTACTACTAATTATTAAATTTTTTTACTTCAATCCTCTTATTTATTTATACATAGTTGCACTACTCCTAACGTGCATATAACTTGAAACTAGCAAAATGCTAATTAAATGGCAAAAGTGAATTCGAACATTTTAAATCGTGAAATGTCAAGCGGAATAAATTCAATGTTGTCGATTTCGTATTATAAATAGCATGAAATTAAATACTATAAAATTTTTGTATTTTAATTTATACATACTTTATTATTTGCTCTTCTGGTTTATATTCCTTTGATACCAATGCATCAGCAAGATTCATTCGTTCATAGGGCTGAAGACTTTTTAACATAGGAACACTGTTGATGAGATTTTCATACATTTTGCGTTTTTTGAAAGCGGTTTTCAAAAGAATACGCCTAAACGTACACCTGTCCATAGCCCATAAAGAGCCATCAGTTATTGCCTGTAGTAAAAATATAAATTGTTAAAAAATATATTATTTTTTTTCTATTAATTCATAATTATTACTTGTATAGTAGCTGCTCTAGGCATATTGTAAAGTAATGCCAATTCTCCAAAACTACCGCTGTTTTCGTATGTATGAATTAATTTCGGCTCTTCTCCGGGAATGTTGGTTACATATGCTTTAAAAGTTCCGGTTTCAACAACATAAAAATTGTCTCCGTCATCACCCTGCAAATAGACAATAATTTTCCATATAAAAATGGCCTTTTACCAGCATATTGCTGCATCGAGTTATAAATCATCAGTATTGGAGAAATTCTAATGATACAAGTATATTTGTTACCATTGGTAATAAACAAATTATTTAATAAGTAAATTACTAAATCCAAATAAATTTTACTTGTTTAATTATGTAATCTCCAGAATGCACCCTCTTCTCAAACATTGCGTCCAGCACGATATTCATCTGCTCTCCGTCCAGAGATCGAAACAGTATTATTCCTTTCACAGACTGCATATTTATTGATCATTAATTTAATTTATTATATTTATAAATGAACAATATTAAAAGTTGATATGCAAAATACAGTTTATGGGGACGTTATGTGGTTATGGCTTAGTGACAAGTGTTGAGAGTTATATAGTAGATTTGTTGAATGGTTAATAATTAATAAATACTAACAATATAAATTAATATTGTAAATGAATATCAAATTAAAAATAACTTCGTCTTTATAAACTAATCAACGCAAGTTTGATGAGATGGCTTTTAAAATTTGAAAATTGGTTTCACGTAGACGAAAGGTCAAATTTTGGTTCACAATCAAAAATCAATTCCTACCTGTTCCAATCGTTTTCGTTGGTCTTCAGATTTTGGGTAGATTGCCACTTCATCACTGTCCATTGCAGGATCGTAAGTTTCGGCAAAAACAGAACGCCTACGTACGTTGAACGTCATATTAGATAAAGGTTCTGCTAGTTCTGGTTCTTCTAATTCACTCTATATTTAGAAAAAGCTCCAACTTTAAAAATATCATCAAAAGACTCGTGTTAAGATCAGTTCTCATATTTACTACAGATGATGGTTCCATAGTTATAGTCACTCTGTTTTCCTTTATTTTGGTAAAATAATCTATGGCATAATCTACTACATCAGCTGGCTGCTCAAGAAGTAGCTCATCGTGAATTCCATCAGAACTTCTCGCAGATCATCAGGAACAGTCCTGGCCGCACGAGATGGAGTTCCTGGACGAGATGTATCTTGTTTGCCACATCCATACATTTTGGGACTAAAGAAAATGTAAATTTGTTTTTTGCTCATGTAGAATTCATAAATATTGATGTAATACCTTTGCTTGTTAGCTGAATATTGTGGATCTATTTATTATTCTTTGCATCCGATTTCATCGGTCAAATTAATTTTGATACTACTCATTTATCGAGAAAATACTCTAACGTCAAATTTAAAATAGGCATATATTTTTGAGTAACAAAAGCCGGCTTTGTTATTTATAATGAACGATATAAGTAATTTGAATGTTTTTTTATCTAAATATATAAATTTCGTAAAATTGTTAAAAACTGTTTATGATGCACCATAAAGAAATATTGCAATGTATATGAGATCAAACACATTTTTATGTTTTTTGAAGAAGATGATCATCATTTCAATAATTTCACTAATACTAATAGTATATTTGCTAATTGATTCAGCTACTCCAGGGAATGGTTATTTTTACTTGTAAACATTTTCAAATAAAACAGATATCACTACTGCTTGATATCAGGCTTGCCTTATCAATTCTATATTGATCAAGTTGTTAATAAACTTTGGAAAAAACTCATAAAAACGATTTATAAACTAAATCTACTATACTTCCGAGGTCATTTTTATTATCTTTGTTATCTTGTAAGTGATATGTATGAAATATAGATAAACTCATTGCGGAATAGTAACGTCAGGTATGCGAGATCATAAACGTTTTAAAAATGATTTCTATAAATTAATACTATAAGTGAATTTATTTAATATTTATATTATAAGTCGAAATTTTTATAAGTGAAGAAGTGAATGTGTGAATATGATACGATTAATATTGTTCTTATCTATAGGGATTACTCTTGAATTTGGTAAGAAGCTTTAAGCAAATATGAAAGATATATTAGTTGGAATTTTGATAATTTTATTTACATTGACAAAAATGTCAACAAGAATTTATTGAGATATGTATATGAATTACAGTTTTAATGTTCTGTTGAAAATTTAAATTATTTTTTTATAGAAATGAGGTTAATGCTCTATCCACATTAATATAATTAAGAAAATATATTTTAAAGAAATAACAGATGCATTGCATTTATTACACCACAATTCGAATCAGAAAATCAGTTTGAGAAAATATCAATCCTAATATCATTTTTGATATAAATTTTTGCTGCATACAATAAAAAAAGTCATCAATGGGGTTGGGTTGAACACGTCATTAAGAAGTCATCACCACAAGCTCCTACGACTATTAACTTCTGACTGTTGTTAATTATTAAGTTCATCTAATTTTTTCCCAGGTCAAATATCATGTCAAAGCAGCGAAGAACTGGCTTTTCAACTATGTCCAAACGGACAATACAGTATGTCTACCGGAGTGAATCTGCTCGCAGTTTGTGTCCCTTGTCCATGTCCAAATAACTCTAATTGCTTGCAACTACCAGATGAGACAATAACATGTCTAAATTGCCCAAAAGGGTATGCAGGCCAACTATGCGACAAATGCGATTCTGGTTATTTTGATAATTCTGCTCAAGAATTGTCGGAATTTAGTGTCAATTGCGTACCTTGTAATTGCAATGGTAATGCAGACATTAGTGATGCTGGAAGTTGTGATAGGCAAACAGGTAAAAATAAGTGAAATATAGAAAATAATAATCAATGAGCTAGGTTGCTCATATAAATATCAAATTTAGCATTCATTTTTTATTCCCAGGTGTCTGCCATAAATGTCTAAACAACACTACTGGTGACCATTGCGAGAGTTGTGCGCCTGGATTTTATGGAAATGCTCTACAAAGAGATTGTAAACCTTGCTCTTGTAATTTATGGGGCAGTCTGAAACCACCAAAATTAACTAGTCCAATACAATGCGATAGGATCACTGGTGATTGTTTATGCGTACCCCATGCCAAGGGTAAACTTTGCGACGAATGCGAGGTAAACAAAAAAATATTTATTCATAGAAAAATTTATATTATTTGATTCATTAAACTTTGGGCTCTTTGCCCACGTCATACCGAAATCAAGCAGTAGTGATATCAGTGTTCACTTAAAAGATTTCAAATGTTCCTAAGTAAAAATAGTCCTTCCTCATCACTATTAGAGAAGGTCTTAAAATAAAAATCAATCGAATATAGATGATGGAAGCCACGAGGATTTTTTATCGAAAAATATCATCATAACAACTCAAACAAATTTAAATACTTTTTATAGGACGGCTACTATTTTCAAGGCGACAATGGGTGCAAAAAATGTGATTGTGATCCAATTGGAAGTATAGGTGAAAATTGCTCTGCTGAAACTGGGCAATGCAAATGCAGACCTGGAGTTTCGGGCCAAAAATGCGATGTTTGTGCTCCTTTACACTATGGATTTTCATCTACTGGCTGTACTGAATGCAATTGCCATAAATATGGATCCAAGTAAAAATTCCCATAAATAAATAGAAATACATCTCTAAAATCAAAATCATTCTAGATTCTAATTTTGGATATTTTCATTGAATTCACGACCCGAAATAAACATCTTAATTCTTGTAAAAGAAATTATATCTGAAATTATTTTACTTTTTAAGAATTTGATTTATTCTAATTTTTAATTTTTATCTTTTACTTTCAGGAGTACGCAGTGTGATGAATATGGACGTTGTCCTTGCCATGACCAGGTTGAAGGAAAAACTTGTGATAAATGTATTGGCAAAAAACTAGGAATTCGCAAAGGCTGTTTCGACTGCCCGCGATGTTATGACTTTGTGGAAGCAGAATTTACAGACTACAAGCAATTGATCGATCAGAAAGAACAGGTACAATTTCAATCTCTTAAAATCTTAAATACAATATAAACAAAAAAGATTTTACTTAAAGGATCTGATTGATATATCTGCGGATAACAGTACCGATACTGATTTCGACAATGAGTTCGGAGATTTAATACAAACCGTTGATGATCTTAAACAAGATACTTTAGTTCAATAAGCGATATCAACGACAAAAATACGAATCTTACTGAACTAGCAGCCTCCATACAAGCACAGTATATATTATAACATAATATTGAAATAATTTATTACTTGGACCAATATAATTTTAAATGTAATTCACAGATTTTTAGATTCTTTACCAAAATATATTGATGACCTAAATGACATAGCTCGAGACTCGCAGGACCTTATTAATATGCTCGAAAACGAGTTGCTCAGAGCAAAAGATAGCATTTCACAAGCTGAACCTGAAGTCGAGGTAACAAGAATAAATAGACAAAAAATAAGATATTAGTTATTCAATAAACATAAAAATGCAATCTCTTTTAAAACATTTTATTTATGCATCTGGTCTCCTAAATATATTCTTCATTGAACAATTAAATGTTCTTTTGTTTCATTTAATAAAATTTATGCACAAAATTCTAAATAACTCGCCTTTCTGCATTTTACTCAATGTTTCATATTTGAGATGATTCTAAGATGAATAATTTTAATATTTAAAAAATTAAAACAATAATTATTAAGGTAATAATGTAGATAAAAAATGCATTCAAAATCTAAATGATTGTTACAATTTTAGGCCGCTTTGACCTATATAAAAACTGAAGGTAAAAAAGCACTAGAAGATGCAGAAAAGTTTTCTGAAACAGTTAATTCATCTAAGGATCTGGAAAATATAGCAAAAGAAGCCAAAGATCTAGCAACTGAGCTAGAAAACAATGTTAACACAATTACAGATTTAGCAACACAAGTTAAAAATATTTCCGATCAACTTTTATCCAAAGAGCCTGAATTAAATGAATTATTCCCTAATGAAACTGAGTAAGTAACTTAATGTTTTTATTTTATTTTTTTTCTAATAAATGTATTAATTCAAAACAGCTCCTGGCTAGAGTACTTGCAGAATAGAACCGAATCGTCAAAAAATAACATGCAAGAGTTACTCGAACTTGTTGATGATACGAAGCAACTTTTATTGGATGTTTGTATTTTCCAATTTGTACTATACAATATTTTTAAATTTAATAACCATTAATTTAATAACCATTAAAATTATATATTCCAGACCAAAAATGATTATATCGAAATAATACAAGATATAAATAATGCAACTGTTCCTGAAATTAATATTCCCGAATTAGGTAACCGCATAGAAGCTATGAATGGAGTGTCTAATCGGATCATAAGAGAAGCAGATGATTTTTTAAATGGACCACATTTATATCAAAAAATTAAAAAAGAATTAGAAACAAATTCTAATGTTATGGAATCTTGGAGTGAATTGGTGAAAGAATGGAATGCAATGTTAGAGAGCGTTAATAATTATAACAATATGGCAAAGGAAGCGATAAAGATGGCAAATGATGTGTTAGAAAATGCTAAAAAAACACTGGAAGAAGTATCGGGTAAGAAACACTTTATACCAACATTTAAAAAAATGATTAAAGAGAAACTATCATAATTTTAATATCCCAATCTGTATCAAACGATTGTAGACCTATGCCAAGCACATAAAAGCTTTGGATTCCAAATATCAAGGCAACTGGATATGAGATGAACATATAAAAATATACTTTCAAATATATAGGAATAATATAGGAAATTAAATTCACGAAAACACTTACCAGTTTCATATGTTGTAGTACCAATCCAACCCATGCAATCCAAAGTTTTAAGGGCTGATGTACTGATGGCCCAACTTCTCTTTTGTAGTAGATGCCATCAAAAAAGCCGTTGGAAATCACTATTAGCCATTAACGGATCATTTACTTCACCATCACCATCATTTACCACTCTATCTAAACTGTCTATTAACGTAATGTAGCCTGCTTCTTGTTGGAGATATTCCCTTTTTTGATAATTTCGAACAAGAAATATATTTGGGTCTCACCATCAATTACCACTTAAGCACTTAACAATTACTTGATTTTTTCGTCCTTTAATTTACTCTATGGTCACTAAAGCAATGAACTTTATTTTATAAACCAACTAAAATATTGTTGAAAGCAGAACTATCGAAAATTTACATGGATTTCAATATCTATGGGGAATGTAAATGAAGTTTCCTATTCAATTCTAAATTTTACTTTGCAGAGAACAACAACTTGAAAAAAGTGAAAGAAGCCGCTAAAGATGCACTTAATGAAAGACAACAAATAAAAAATGATATGAATGAAATATCAATTGAAATTAATAATTTTGGGGGAAGAGTGTCTGAAATAAAAAACAACATAGAATACTTGAATATATCCGTGATTAATGGAGAGATTCAGGATTCTAAGCAGGTACTTTGGTTAAATAAAGAGATAACAGTGATCGAAAAAATAAACTATATATATATAAAAAGATGATTACGTTTTAGCAAGTTAAATCCACACAAGATGATGTAGAAAATATCCAAGAAAATTTAAATTCTACGGAAGATACTCTTCAAAATTTAGATGATTATCTAAAACTGACTGAAGACCGGTTTGTGAAAGAAAATGATGTATATAAAAAAGATGAAGCTTTACTAAAAGAATCTAGTAAGAACCAAAATAAATTGCATTCTGATATGGAGTCATTCGCAGAAACTTTAAATAAAAGACTATTAGAACTCGAAGATATAAGAACAAATTTAAATAACCCGATAGAAATTGATGAACAAACTCTCAACAAATTAGGTAAATATAAAATAATATAACTTTAGATGATATATAGTTATATACGTTCATATACTTCAGAAAGAAGAATTAAGCTGCTAGAGAAACAATTAAATGATGATGATATATCTGGTCAGATATTAAAACTCCAAAATATACAAGTAAAACAAACTTATTTAATTTCGATGAAAGAAGATGAATTAAAACTTTTGGAAAACGAAGTAGAAAATGTAAAATACATTGCTGCAGCACTGCCGGAGGCATGTTATAAGCCAACCGATTTGCAAAGATAAGATAAAAGATAATTATAAAGTATTATTCATTAAAATAAATATTATTATATTCCAGAATATACATGCCGCAGATTAAGTTATTTGAAGCTTATTATTTATTAACCTTATTATAATTTTTTTAAGTACTTTGTTAAAAAAGGATGATTTAACAAGGTTGTTAATTTGCATCTGTCCCATTAAAACCACAATATTCTAACAATATTTTATTAGAAATATAAAATTATACGACATCTAACTATAAATTTCTTATCTAATCATATAAAACTCTATCTTTGACCAAGTCGATTAATTCTTAAATGCACTTTGTCCTTATAAATATCTCGTAGAAGCACAATTTAGATTTAAAATATACATATAAGACATACAACTAATGAAATACCTGTAAAAAGTTGACTGTAGGTGAGAATCAATTAATTCTATCAGTTCCGTAGATGGCACAAATAATATGCAAGAGATTCTAAGAGATTTATGGCGAAAAAATAATAAAGTATAAAAACAATAATAGAATATTGATGCACGATAATTTAAATTTATAATTCGGTGGTATCTATCAATCCCGAGATTGATCATTTACCATAATTTTGTTATTGCATTTTTTAAAGATCTTTTAATTAATATGGTTCAAGGCGGGCTCTCTTGAAACAGCCTGCTGGTAGTGCATCTGCAATTGCTTGAACTGCTTCTACTTCCGCTTGCAATCTTTCCAATTCGTCTTTGTGATCGCGAATCCAACCCTGTTGCTTTTTCTGAGTAGCTCGTAATTGCTCGATCCTAACATCCAAGTTGGCTGCTTTGATAATGTTTTCGGCATCGGTAAGTTTTCTCTCTGAAGAAAAATGTTAACTAGGTGTGAGTGGCTTTTTGCCTTGAGGCAACTTGCAATAACCTCACGATATGTGAAGATAGAAGTTCGTTCAAATCTTAACACGACCCATTATTTCAAACTTTGATGATATTTTATAAAACTAAACCACTTTACGTAGATCTATATTATTTTAGCAATATCTCTATCATCCTGCAAAACTTCCTAAATCTTCGAATAAATTATTTTAACAATTAATTACGAAGTAAAATCCCGACCAATCTTGACCAAAACCTGATCAGCACAATTTCCAACTGATATGTTTCGAAAAGCTTTCGAATTTTCAAAATTCGTTGTCCCATTTTTAGCGAAAACACGAATAAAAAATGTTGTAATTACATACTTGTACACTGTAATAGTTTTTAAAATTTGAAATCGTTGCAGCTGGTTTTGAGAAACACAGACAAAAAGTCAAAAAAATTTCATTTCCAAATGATGGACTTGTAGCGTCAAAAAAATATAAAATCGGATATAAAACATATATCGGAAGTTACCCATTCTTTCAATAAGAAGAACAACTAACAAATAAACAAAACAGTAGTAAACTTGGTTCTTAACAAAATCTTCTATCTCACTTACCCAATTCTGCCAGATCTGACTCATCGATGTCTGGTAACTTTTCCAGCTCCTTCTTTATATCCTCGACATCTCTAAGCGCCTTTTCAACTTGCTTAGAAGCCTCTTCAGCGTCGCTTTTAGCTTGGCCCACCAATGTTTTGGCGGAACTGGTAAGATCTTCTTCATCCTTGGCCTGGACTTCGAGTAACTCTATACGCAAAGCGGTTTCGTTGACACGTCTATCTAAATCTTTTGATTCGGCATCATATCGATAAACCTCTGCTTTAGTGCTATTTGCTTGTTTCAGAATTTCGTTGGCCAGCTGTAATTGGTAAAGGAAATATTAGGTAACAATTGGCAAAAATGGATGAAAAAATTGACAGTTTTTTTGAAAATTTCATATATTTACCTTATTAGCATTTGTGCCTGAGTTTGAGCCTCCAAAGCAGTAGCTTTAGCATTTTCGGCATTACTTACAACCCAGAAAGGGCAATTTCAGCAGTAATAATTTGGTCTGTAGCTTCTCTAATATCATTCTCGATTTGTACTTTATCTTTGGTAAGTGCTTCTTGGGCCGCGTTACGTGAAGACTCAACTTCCTCATGGAACCCTAAGAAAAAGATTGTAGTGACGATGTATTAGTTAACATTAATCTTCAATAATAATAAATAATTTTTACCTAATAATGTCTGTAGAGTTTTCTGCGCTTCGGCCAATGTTTTATCTCCCAACTCCACTGCTTCTTTTGCAAGTTGATTCGAAGAATCAGCTTCTGCTAATAGGGCATCGATATCATTTTGCTGATTAACGACACGATTGACTAAATCTCGCGCGTAATCAATTTGATCTTCAATTTCTGCCATTTTATCCCCACGAGGACCTACAAACAAATCTTCAGCAGCTAATTTTATTTCTTCAGCCTCATCCATTATATATTTGGCATCTTCGCGAAGCTTTGCAATATCTATCTCGGGCAAAGCGGCATTGTCGACTTCGGTGTAAATGGCTAGAGCATCTTTTTGAGCCTGGTAATAAAATTAAAAACAAAAAATCGAAGAGTAATGAGAATAGTACAAAAGTAATATATAATTTAATTAGATGAAATTATTTTAAAAAAGCAAATGTTGTCATTTACCTTATCAGCGAGTTCGAGAGTTTCCCTTGAATGATCGAGTGTTGTTTCCAAACGTACTCTGGCATGGGCGACAGCTGCGGTTAGTCCTCTAATCGAATCTCTAGATATAAATGTTAGAAATACATATAAAAATGATCTTAAATTTCAAAAATATTATTTTCATAAAATATATTCCTTACGTCACATTATCTTGCAAGTCCAAGGCTCCTTTAGCAACATCGTAAGCCTCTGTAGAAACGTTTAGAGCTCGTTGAGCAGTTTCTCTTATAGTTTTATCTTCTTCTTCTAAATCATGTGCAAGTTGTTGAGCTTCTTTTACAATATTCGACATTGCTTCAGATTGATGACCGAGTTGCTGACTTCTATTTGTTGCGCGATCTAAAGCTTTAACACCCTCGTCGGCCAAGAAGTCCAACGCATCCTGAAAGTAATAAATAATTTTAGTTATATGTATTTATTTATATAATTAATTTTTACTCACATTCAATTCTTTTGTGGCAGCTTCAATTATAGCTTGAGCGGCTTCTAGATCTTGTTTTCCCATAGCTGCTGTTTTTCGACCTTCATCCGCCAATAGATTCACTTGATCGACTAGTGCTTCACATTTTGATAATCTATAATTGTGAGAATAATAACTCTATACAATACAATATATACAATAAAATATATTTAAAAAATTTATCAAAATCTTACCTGTCCCGCAGTTCTGAAACATGATCGAACAAACTCTTATCTCCACCTCCTGTTGCTAGTTTAGCGTCTGCCGAAAGCTTATCAACTTGTTTTTGAATTTGATTTAGTTTTTCGTCAAATTCAGTATTATCAACAACTGTGGGATTGCTCTTAATGTCGGCCAGTACCTGAATAAAAAATAATAAAATGTTATTACGTTGGAATTATAAAAAATCATTTATGTTTAGATTAATTATTAATTATTAAATATTATACCTTTTGCATTTCATGAAGTCTATCACGATGTCTATGAACAGCATCTCTGACCAGGTTGTAACAATGCGGACAATCAATACATCCTCGTTTTCTATCGTAGGTATTTTCTTTGCATCGATCACAACGTCTACCTTCTACATTATCGTTACAAGGACATTGCCCGTTTACATCGCACTGCAAGCTCCTAAAATCGGAAAAAAATATTAGAATTACATTTTATTTATGAGAGAAATGTACAACTAGCATATATAAATATCACTCACTGAGATCCTGTTTCATCGCAATCACAAGGCGAACACCCGGTTGAAGAGAAACCATATTGTAAAGGTGCGCAAGAGTCACAAAGTTTTCCAGTTACACCTGGCCTACATTGACACTGTCCAGTATCAGCATCACAAGCTGGGCCTACAGATCCTATCGGATTGCAATTGCAATCTTTGCAACCATTTCCACTTGTCAAATCATAATAACCGACCTGTAAATAATTCGAAGTTATTTGAAAGTCCACAGAATCAATAAGCCAATAAATTTTTAATATTATATTTACCTCGCAAATATCGCAGTTCTTTCCTGTGACATGTGGTTTGCACATGCAATGACCAGAAATTTGATCACATTTTGGTGGTCCGCCCTCTTTGGTATATTCAGTTCCGTATGGATTGCAAGCACAACGTCTACAATCGCCTTGGGGAAGAGCAAGGGCATCACCGTAGTATCCAGGCAAACAATGGTCACAACGTTCTCCGGCCGTGTGATGAATACATTTCAAACATGCACCTTGATAAATTAATTTTCAGATTTATACATTTATTTATAAAATTTTGTAAAATATTTTATTTTATTCAAAATTGAAATGGGGTACCTGTGGTTCTATTACAATTTCCTACGGCATTAACATCAACATTGTTATTACAATCGCAAGGTCTGCAAGGTTCAGCATAGCCTGTCTGTCTTCCTGTAGGGTCTCCATAAAATCCGTCTGAGCAAAGGTCACAACGAGGACCTGCATATCCTGCAGGACATTCTAGACAAACCACAGTCTCATCAGGAAGCTGTAAACAAGCACCTCTTTCTGGACAAGGACACACTTTGCAATCGTAGGGCGTACCGCCAAGGGCACTTCCATAATAGCCTCTTGCGCAAAGTTCACAATTGTCACCGGCAGTGTTATGATCACAAATACACCGACCTGGAAATTATCCATTTAATATTATACAATCAATTTAAGTAAATATCAGATGTTTTTATTTTAAATTACCAACCTGTGTCAGAATCGCAAATATCCGTATGACCATTACACTCGCAAGGAACGCAAGATGCAAATGGTCCTCCGTTTGCAGGTGTGTGTCTAAAACCTGGTGCGCAGGATTCACAATACTGGCCAATATAACCAGAAGGACAAGTACATGTCTCAATCCATGTAGCTTGTTGACCTTAAAATTTATATAAGCAATTATTAAATAATCGAAAATAATCGAAAATGATAGATTATTTAATAGTAAGTTATATTTCAGTTACCCGCAGAACCACGATGAGCGGTTTCCAATTTTACATCATCCAGAAAACCGACAGCTCTACCACTATATGTTCCTCTAACTTTAATCGCGGTCAAATTACTCAAAAGTGCCAAAAAATTTCTCTGGCCTAACCGCGGTTGCCAGCCATAATCTGGGTGTTCATGTAATAAAAATGAGTATCTCTGAGGCCTGATCGAAGGAACCTGGTGTCCTTGTGCAAAGATCGGAAGGGACACGTGTCCACCTGATCCTTCTAAAATTACATCAGTCGCTGATGGAGCTGGACCTGATTCCCCAATTCGAAGTGTAAAGCTTAAATAATGATTGTACGAAGCGCGCTGATCTCCTAAGAAACGATCTGGTGCGGTGAAGAATAAAGTTTCGCCTCCGATTGATGATACCCCTTAAAGATAAGACATTTTTATATCTCATACTCTTCAAAATTTTATATTTAAAAAAAGAAAAAAAATTATATACCAATATTTTGTTCCAAAGCCTTGTACTGCACCGGAACGACAGCATTTCTGTCATCTCGAGCTGTCCATCTTTCGCTACCTCTAGCGAACATAGACTCAGTAGTTACCTGTAATACAAAAACAATATTACATAATATTATTTAATTTAAAATATAGCATTTAAAATATCAACTAAATATTTTTATTACTTTTGAATAACCCATAGCCGATGTACACTCTGAAGAATGATAGTAACAGAAACAGGGGGTACATCCGAACTTATTGTCGACATCAAGACTGAAATATCCTGGCTTACACCTAATTATTAATTAGTAAAAAATTACTGTAGTTAGTCGAATATAACATGTATAATACATTGTGAAAACAATCTTACTCTCGACATTTCTGTCCTTCAACATGCTCTTTACAAGCGCAAACACCAGTGTGAGGATCACATGAAGGCTGATTGTTCAAAGATCCTGCAACACTACATTCGCAAGGACGACAGCCACGTGGACCAAAATCGTAATGGTCAACATCGCAACGATCACATTTATCGCCTGCTACACCAGGTTTACATTGACATCTACCGCTGGCATCACATTGGAGCGATCTGGAACCTTTAAGAAAAAATTGACTAATTTTGTATAAAATAATAATAAAACTTAAAATGTTAGTATGATGTGAGTGCTTTACCTGTAGGATCGCAATTACAAGGAACACAATAACTATCTTCGAACTGATGGTAATTTTCTCTGCATCTTTCGCAGTTTGGTCCATCGCGATTGGCTCTACAATCTAAACAATGACCGCCATGGCCAGTTTGTTCATATAGAGCCCTGTCAAACACGCAGCGATCGGAAAAACCGTTACAATTACAAGCTATAAGCAATAAAATAGTTATCTTAATTCAAAATAATTAACAATATAAATTCTATTTCTTTTCAAATACCTTTGCATTCATGTACATTTGTAGAAGAGGCTCTACCCCAAGGAGCATCATTATAAAACGGCAGACATTCACCACAATCTGGACCTGCAGTATTGTGTTCGCAACGACATACTCTCCTGCGAGTACCGTCCGGACCTGATCAAATAAAAGCAAATAATTCGAATATGATAATTGTATAAGTAAATATACTGATCGAACAATCCTTATAAAAAGTGGTGATATTAATATTCTGGCTATTACCTGAAGAACTGACACATTCCGAAGCGTGGCCATTACATTTGCAACGAGCACCAACAGCAACATCGGCAATTGCATAGAAATAAGAACGCAATACCTGGGCATCTCCAAAAACTTCATCACCAAAACTGTTAAGACGATCCAATGTTATTCTAAGTTCGGTAGCTGTCACCCATTCCTAATATTGATAAAAACAAATGATTTTTTTTTGTAAAGTTAAAAAATTACAATAACCATTTATTATTTTACCTGCAAATCTGCGCTAGAATCGAATTGATAGGCACTAGGACGTCCTTCCAAGGTTGAAAAAGCTACATTTCCGCCTCGTAATGGTGAAATATCACTGTATTCACTTGTACAAAGTGCCCTGGTTTCAGCTTCTCCTCGACTAGCATGGTTATTGTCTGGTAAGCCGTACATATCTCGACAAGTGGCACTAAAATAAAAAAAAATATAGTAAATTAAAAGCATGCAAAAGCTTGATATAAATTGCCTTACAGATAAGTATATGATTAAATGAATATTTTTCCAATTGTAATTTAATTATTTTCTACGATGTTTACCTGTAAAATTGATATGGTTCCCAAGGTCCATTGGCTTTTGTTCTCTTGTAAATTGCAAAACTTTCAGGACGAGGTGAGTAGAACCATAAACGAACGTATGTGATATCGAAAGCTTTTCCTACAATATAAACAGAGAGCTACTATGAAAAGCAATTTTTCGGATGTAAATAAGAATATTATCTAAGATGCAACATTTTAAACTTTTAATTATTATAATTAAGTATTTAAGCATATGTTTGCATATACTTACGTAAGTTGAGCGTCAAATTCACTTGACTAGGATACTGTATTCCCTCATACATGGTTGGAGATTGCCACCATGTCTGGTTGTCCTGGTCGTGCAGATCCGTTAAGTACCTGGGACCGTGGTCACCTGCCCTGCACACATCGCATGATTTCTTGGCTGAACTTCCCGTCTGCACACAAAATTCAATGGTGCCATCGTCACCACAAGTTTCAGTCGCCTCCATCAGCACGCCATAGGCGGCATTTTCGAATTCTGGTATACATCTCTGGGATAATAAAGGATTGATAACTAATTATAAAAGATCATCAAAATCATATAAAAAAGTTTCAAAACATCAATAATATATTGTAATTATAAATTTTGATATAATTACTGCTTCTCTAAAGCTTTTAAACCATGTGATCTAGCAAAGATAATACACGTGCTTATTTCTAAAACAGAACAATATGAAAACTAATAAAATTAATTTAGAAAAATATATACGAGCTTTAATTTGCAAGGGCTTACCAATATATTTATTCAGTACATAATTATTGACCATAATTATCATAATTAAAAATATAATTAATACCAAGCATGATTAGAAAAGAAGAAAATTGCTTATATGATAAGTATATATTGAACATAATTCAATATAATTAATATGGAAATATATATATATATATATATTATATAAAATTAAATATACATTATAAAATTCATACAATGCTCAAAAACTCAAATATATGTTATTATCGGATAATGACCCTGCTGGACAGTGTGGTTAAAGGTTAAAGATATGATTTTGTGTAATCAGTTGTCTTCTTCTGAAAAATGGTACCTACTACTTTATAGTACATTTATAAGACGTTAAATTAAATAATAAAATAATCTATCACATATAGTTCGCAATACATACATAGAAAGTATTAAAATGATAGTCTAAATTTAACTTGTCGATAAGGTAATCAAGTTTTGAATTCAACGAGTAATATAGAGTAGTCTCTATATAAAACTGAATAGAAAACTACTATTGAAAAGTGTAAGTAAAATGTGGGGAAATACCTACTTATAATTAGAATTCGTATAATTCGCAAAATTTTACAAACATATAGAATCGTGCCTTAAGGCAAATTGCTGAAACTTCCCGTACCAAAAATTAAACTTTTTAAAAAAGCTTCTATACCAATTTTTTCTGAGTAATGCCAAAATGATTAGAGACCTTTGAATCGTAAAGATATATAAAAAACATTATTGTTGATTCTTTTGAGAATAAAAAATCAAGTGAAAATGAGGAAGGTTTTAAAACATCATTATTTTCCCATGAGCTTCACCATACAACTCTGCCATCATCAATGGATATAAATAATTTCGAATACGAGCAAAAAGTACATTAATAACAAAAATTAATTATAAAACAATAGTGATGCTTGCCGAAGATGTTCTTTGCATATTTTTATTATTAATGTACATTTTCCCTGTTTTCGAAATTATTTATATCCACTGATGAAAAGTAAGCTGAAACGGCTGGGAAAATAAAGATATTTCTCGTCTTCCTCATTTTTCTTGATGTTACGTCCT